GCACTAAGTAGTGGCGCGAAGTTTCGTGCTTCGAATCTCTGTCAAAATATTTTTTTCGTCGGGCCATACGAAAGGGGATTGGTGAGAGCCGACTGTCTTCATTCGAGATCAATTTTTATAAAAAAAAAAGAAAGCGGGGAAGAAAAAACAAGGAGCCCAGAAAACATCAAATTAATTTGACGTTAGAAGGGGAACTCGTTCTTTACTCCAATACTTGAATCGTTATTGTCCTGGTTTTGGTAAGAGAAGGTAATCTAAGTGTTTTCAGGTACAATGGGTAAGTTACAAGTGAAGTAATGTTGGTCTAACATTTTCATTAGTCTGTAGAGGTGAAACGTGAATGAATTTCTGAATTACTGAAATGTATACTCATATTGTGTTGTAAATGAATTTCTGAATTACTCAAATATATGCTGTTGGTCTGTATGGTACTGATATGGAATTGAGAACATAAAGTGAACATGTAATCAGCATTTACTGCTGAATGTGGTGATAGAGTGCAAGTATGACAATTAATTTTATTAGCAAAGATAAATGGTACAAGCAATTTATGTTGCTTTTATATAATTGTGATTCAAAATTATTTTTGTGCAGAAACAAAAACAGTTATCCACTTTTTCATATAAGGGAAAAATGTAAGTTAACAAGTATTTAAAATTAATCTAGTGATTAGTTTCGTCCAGTAAAAGCTGAACAATCATTGCTGCAAGATAAGTAAAGATGAAGACAGTACATGTATTGATATTACTGAATTAGTTTTGTGCAGAAAAAGTTGAACAATCATTGGTGCAAGGTAAGTAAAGATTAATACATTATATGTACTGATACCAGTGAAATTTAGATCCATTTAAAATCAACCATATCATAGGCTCCTTTTCCATCAGCCCGCTCCCTAGTTGTAACTTTGTGTACAACATAGTGTGGATTTTTTCCACTTTGGATCCTTTCTTTCATTGCTGTTATAATTTTATCACCGAGAAGTGTAACAGGTTTTGGTAAATTAACTGTTATCATTCCTGTTGGCTTTCTCTTCTTGTCTTCAAATTTTCCGACTGCTCTTTTGTATGCTCCGTTGAAGCCATTCTCATCTCTTAGCTCAATGTCCAATAATTTGTACTCCTTTCCTATCTTGAGATCTCTTGATGAGTAGCATTGAACATCATTCAGCATATTAATGAGATTATCATCCTGAAAGTGAAGTATTGAGTATTAGATTATGGTACTGATAAGTGGTAGTGTGTTGTTAACATTGATAAAACTTACATTATTACTTGATGGCTTGTGTTTCTTGGTTTTCTCATCCTTTGTGTCACTGTGACTGCGTTTAAGTGTTGTCTGAAAAGAAGTCGAATTTTAATTATTTTATGGTGATATACATCTAAGCATTTTATATGGTGCTGTGTATAGTTTACCGTTGTGTCTGAAGTATCATCAGTCGAATCATCTGATGAACTACTATCTGCTGAGCTTGATGATGGTGGAGGTGTTTGTACTTTCTTCTGATGCTTCTTCCTTTTCTTTTTTGAATCAGCTTTCTTAATCTTCTCATTTTTCTTATCTTTTTTCTGTAGCTTTTTCTGCAGAGCCTTAATCTGTTCCTGAATTTTTTCAGTTTCTGATGAAGTGTCTGATTCATCTTCATCTTCATCTTCAGTAGTTTTCTCATCACACAATTTCTGCAATAAATGTGTTTTGTAACAACCTCTTTTTTTCTGGTGCTTGGTGTTTTCTGCTTCTGCAATGAATAGTGTATTAGTACAATGGTTTAAAGTAACTTAATTTTTAATGTTTAGTGATAGATATTATTTTATTATCATGTATATGTACCTTTTTTGTGGATTTAGCAGATTCAGAATCATTGTCAGATTCAAAGTTGTCCTTCTGAGAAGTTTTCTTTTTCTTGTCTAATTTTGTAAGCATAGTTTCCTCTTTATGGTGAAGTTTCTGGAAATAGAAAAATATGGATTAAGAGTGAAAGAAATTTTGCACTGGTATAAGAGTTTAATTGTATATATACCTTTTTCGTGATTTTAGCGGGTTCAGGGGGTTCTGATTCATTGTCAGATTCAAAGTTGCACATCTGAGAAGTCTTCTTTTTCCTGTCTAGCTCTTTTAGCATAGCTTCCCCTCTCTCATGAAGTTTCTAGAAATGGAAAAATGTGGGTTAAGAGTTGAAGAAATTAAATATCTCTATTTAATTTTAATTGTATCTTACCTTTTTGATTAGCATGTCGATATCTTTTTTTTTCTGGATCAGTATGTCAACATCCGAATCCTCAGATGATAGTTGGACGATTTCGTCATCATTTGAATCAAACTCTTCTTTGATCTTCTTGTGGGATCGTGAAGCAAGGAAGTTATCGCTTTCTTCATCGTCTGATTGTAGGGGAGAATACAAGTTAGTCTCTGATATATTGTCTGCTTCGTTTACTGTTTCATTGACAGTTGCTGATGAAGAAGTTGCTGTGTTCGTAGTATCAGCAGGATTTGTCTGTAAAGGAAGGAACATTATAATTAATTTTTGAATTTTATAAAATTTTAAATAGTTACATTTTTGTCAGTCTGCTCTAAAACATACCTCATTAGTTTCTTCGCTTGATCCTTCTAACATCTGTTTGTAGTTGACCTTTTTTTGTCTAGTAGTCATTCTTGTTGATGCACTGTAACGAAAGAAAAAAATTTTTAGTAACAAATCAAATCTTTACAAGTAATATTTACAATTGTGTTATTAAAACATGCCATTTTTGTCCAAATTGGTTGATGATAACTGAAGTAAGATGCATAATGACCATGTTGAGGTTTGTAGTTTGATACAATCCAGTCCAAACAAGTTTTATTGTGAGTAGTATGTTCCTTTCTGTTTAGTATTGTGAGGTTTCTGTTACTTAGATGTTTTTGAAGAGGTGATTTAGATTTCAGGGCATCAATGTTGAAGTCGCCCATTATTAGTAAGTTCCCTGAACATGTTTGTAATATTTTAGCCAGCCAGGTCTTCCATGTTTCAATTGAAGTGCCTGGTTTAGCATACAAACCACAATAAGTGCAATTTCTAATCTTCACCCAGGTGGTTTCTATCTTGTTATTAGTATGTTTGATAGTAAAACATCCAGAAGCAGAAACTAAGTTACATATGTTATTGTTTACATATACACATACTCCACTTGGTTTTCTTGCATGGCCAGAATCAATTTTATGTAGTAGTTTAAAATGTGGAATATCTATTTGATCATGAGAACTCATCCAAATCTCTCCAAAAAATAATAATCCTGAAGCTGTGAAGTTCTTATCATTGATGATCAGTTTCTGATGCTTTGGTAGAGATTGCACGTTGTGATACATGGCTATATACATATCAGACGATTTAATATTGCTAAAGACAGGTATAATGGAGTTTGTTTTCCATCGAGTCATCTCTAGTGACATGTGGTCATTTTCTTGCAATGGTTTTGTAGGTATAAAATTTCCAATGATGTATAATCCATCAATGGTAGTTGCTCTTGAACAAGCCACATACAATAGCTGTTTAGTCATTCTGTTTGAAAGATGTACCACTACTTGTTTCATAGTTTGACCCTGACTCTTATGAATTGTGATAGCATGAGCTAATGTTAAAGCAAATTGCATTCTATTTACTTTGAGAGAGCAATTTTTCCTGGTTTTAATTTTTACTACTATAGGATAAATTGGAGTCCATGACTGAGGAATTTTTCTTGCTTTCATTATGTCTTTATGCTTGTGTCTAGCTTGCGTTCCCACATGCTGCTCATCAAATTTTATCCATACTCTTAATGGTTTCTTCTCGTGTTTTTCATTTTGTCCGAAATCTATTTTCTTGAGTTTTCCCGTGGCGCCATTACATAGACCATCTTCAGTGTCTATGTTGTATGTGATCATGTATCTTGCTTTTACTTTGAATTGTACTATGGATGGCATTCCAACAGTATCCTGAATTTTACTATTTGCAGTAGAGTATAGCAACTGACGTTTAGCTAGTTCTGATCCGTGACCTTCTAATACATCTGAAGCTGTACATATATATTGAGGATTATCAATTTTCTTGATGGCTTCTTGATTGTAAGAATCGACGTCAACATTTCTTGCAAAAAGATGAATAGCGTTTTTCAAGCTTCTGTCCTGTGGAAGTTGGCGAAATGTTCTTGATTTAAGCAGTCTGATGTCATTTTCAGTCAAAGTACCACGAGCTAAGTGTTTAAGAGCCTTTTGGAAATTCACTTCATTCTGTCTCATAACTTTTTTCAGTTGAAAAGTTTTAAAGTTGCTCCATAAACTCTTGTTGAATATTTCATCGTATGGATTTTGCTGCTGAACTTCAGGTCGGCCCTAAGCCTTACACTAACACTAAGCGGAAAGCGAAAAATGTTGCCGAGCCTGGAGTCGAACCGTCGACCTGCGACGCTCTGGGCGGGTGCTCTACCGACTGGGCCATGGAGGCGAGATACCG